CATGTAATTTGTAACTCATATTTACAACTAACAACAAGTGGAGTAAGAAAATTAATAATTAATAATTTTACATAATAAATAAAGGGTATTTTGATTTTTTCATAGTCAAATTCTTTTGGCTTTTCTCCTTTGAAGTGAACTGAAATTTTAAAAATTTTTAAATCCACCTAAAATAAATCTTTAAAATACTTCTTAACTGAAATTCTCCCTAAATTAAATTCTCGAGATTTCATTGCATTAAATATTTTATTATTTATCTATATATAAAAATATGAACTTTATGACAGAATAATTAAAAGAATGTGACTGGATATGAAATTTCACATTTCATGAAGATATAATTTTTTAAAATAGATATTTCTTTTTAAAATATTATATATTTATTATTATAAATGTAAAATGAGAATCGTTATTTATAATTTACCCTCTCTATCCAAATAGTAACGAATTTTCCTTGAACTTCCAAAAGACTTGGGCTTACTCCATCATAATAATAGAGGCTTGCGAGAGATGAAACAAATGGTTAAACACGGTTTTTTTTCCCCCGGAATGCTTGAAGAGAGTTTGATAAATTGATATAAGATCCACCCTTCAAGAATGAAATACTTAGGTACAAGATACACTACATCATCACAATCTGTTCAATTAAAATGTTTAAAGTAATTTAAATAAAATATTGCATGACATTTTTAAATTGATTTTATTTTTATAACAAAATGAACGTTTAATTTCTTGTATTTTTCCTCTATTATCACTAATATCAGAATTAATTCATTTAATATTATTTAAATATCATGTGTTTATTGGACAGATCACAAATATCATGCATCTAGTTTATCCAAGTATTTCTCTCAAAAATATACAATTAACCCAAATATATTAAGCAACTGATCCAAACTTAACCTCTGCAACCACTATCAGATTTAGAGGCAACCATTTTGTTTATTTACAGCCATAAATTTTATTAAAAAAGAAAAAATTTTAAAAAAATAAAAAATACCATTTATATCTTTGTTTTAGAAAATATTAAAACACAAATATTAAATTAAATACTTATTAAAGTATAACAAAATATTAAAATAAATTTATTACAACAACTATTTGGCAATCGGTACTTCCAACTAATCTAGAGCCCAACCCCTTGCAGGAGGGCCTCTTGATATACTTAATCTTTTTTAAAAAAAAATAAAAAGAAAAAGACCTTCATGAGCAAAAACAGTTCCACACGAACGCAGCAAATGGAAAACAATGCTTTCTGAGTGCCGTTAGTTAGATGCCACCTTTATGAACCAAGTGAAAATCTGCCATCAACAAGGAAGGAATACATTAGTTTGACTCAAGGATCAAACCCAGTATTGACAGTCAAACTGACTATTAAACTAGTGGACGAAGTGGTTCAAGGGTTATTTGTCCAAGTGAGAATCAGACCGGTGATAATTAAAATAAAAAAAAATAATTAATTGATCTTTCATTGTACTGAATTTTTAACTCAATCCCTGTACTTTATAATATTAGCAACTCTGTCCTTAGCTCGTTGTTGTGTCGGTTATCAGTAAAAAAATTATTGCAGAGAGTGCTGAGTTGGATTAAAAAACCACATACCTTGCTGCCACATCACCACACTCCTTCCTCCGTGGCTTTTTTTCCCTCTTCGTCTTCTCTCTTCCTCTCTCTTCTTTGCCTCTTTTAGGTCTGTTAGAAGAGAAGTGTTTTGAGATCAGAGGTGTTCAATCAACTAAAACTAATGGGTTAGAGTGTGAACTGTGGACTTTAAAAGCAGCAGGGGCCAAATCAATGAAGAAAGTGGAAGGAGCGATTTAATGAGGCCAAATCAATGAAGTGTTCCAGTTTTGAATGAAGGTTATCCAGTTTTATTCAAAAAAAAAAAAAAAAAAAAGGCGAATAGCATCGAATCAGAGAGAGAATGTAAGGTGTGCGGTGATGTGGCAGCGAGGTATGCGGGTTTTCTAATCCTACTCAGCACTGGGTGCAACAATTTTTTACTGATAACTGACACAATAACGAGTTAAGGACTGAGTTGCTAATATTATAAAGTACACAGACTGAGTTGCTGGTTTTTAAAGTACAGGGATCGACTTAAAAGCTCAATAAAACTATAAAAATCAATTAATTAATTTTTATTAAAATAATATAATTTAATTGAAATATAAAAAAATTTATATTTAATTATGAAAAAATTAATATTTAAATAAAAAGGTCATTAATTCTCAAGTAAATAGAATATTTATCTATAAAATCTTATAGATGTCATACACAAATATTAATTATAAGTTTTTGACAATAATGAAATACAATAACATTGAAATTATTAATTAAAGGATTTGGTTTTGATGTTGGGTTCATGATTTAGAAAGGGAAAGGGAAAAAGAAAAAAGAAAAAAAAAAATATATATATATATATAAAATTTAACTCAAGTCACAAGGTGATCAATTTGCCCAATCAACTAGATTGTCTAGGTGACTCATCCATTGGCTCTCAGACAACTTGGCTGGGCCAATCCAGGTTTGCAAACGATGGTTAGATGACCCCCCCAAAAAAAAAAGAAGAATTACATTTAGCTCCCGCAACTAAATAGTTCTCATTTTACTTTGCTTTTTTTTTTGGATAATGTCATTTTACTATGTTAAATTGCCAATAGAACATGTAATATCTATCTATTTATATTGTAAAATGCATCAATATTACTGTAGAACAACAGTTCTTTGAACAGTAAATAGTGAGATCCAGTTTTTCTTTTCTCCTTCTTTTTCTCAATTTTTTCTACCTCTAAAAGTGGTAGGGCCCAGCATTTTTCCTTTTGTACATGTAAAACGGTGGGCCATTTTTTTAAACAAATCTGCCTCTATTGTAGTTAGCATCCAACCTCTTTTTTTCAAATTTTTTACGAACATTTTTTATTTTTATAGTAATTTTTTAATTATTATATAGAAAATAAAAAATAAAATATTATGAAAATTTTATAATAAAAAGGCAGGCAGGAATGGGACTCATAGGAAAAATGAGTGGTTAACATGGAATAAATATTAAAAAATATTTTTTTTCCAAATCACAATATATAACATCTTCTAAAAGTTTTACTTAATTTAAAATATAAGAAATTAAAAATTTTTATAATTATTTTTTAACTGTGTACCTGCTTCATTTATTACACTTTTTGAAAATAAATTATGCATTAAATTTTAATTGTCATTATTAAGACACTTATCTAAAGTATTTAATAAGGATAAAATTAAAAATATGTAAAAAAATTTTAAAGATTAAGGTTTCAACTAAATTTTGTTAGAATTATAAAGTAATTACCAGTGTCATGTATTATGGTCATGTATTATGGTCCAAAGGAAGTAATTTATAAGATATTTTTTTACAAAATTATGCATATTAATAAATTTCATTAAATATACTTCATAATCTTATTGTTTTAAAGTAAAAATATAAATTTTTAAAAATAATCTTAATTTAATATAACTTTACTTGTGAAACATAAATTAAAAATGAAATATAATAAAGAATGAAGGGTAATATTAAACAAGTATAATTAATAAAATTTTAAAATATTTTATATTTTGGGATACTAAATTATCTCCAACCGTGTCTCACAAATTAAGATTGAGGGTGTATATGTATCACAATTTATTTATTTTTATACAAAAAAGAAATACTTCATGAAAATTAATGGATCTCAATTTGAATTTTTTTTTTCAAAAAAATGAATGGTGAACGGAAAACTTATACATAATAATATTTTGATTCATTGCATGCATAATACAGATAATTTATTCCTTTGAATTTTGTTACCTTTTATGATCAATATGTACAATTGTAAATTTCTAAAATTGTACAATTAAAAAAATTATGATCTATATTTTTTTTACATAGCGAAAGAACAAATTGTAAAAAAATTTTACCTTTTAATTTATACATAATACTAAATTATACATAAATAATTTGATGCTTATTTTCAAAATGTAAAAGGTAATAAATTGTATAATAAAATACTATGTAAAAAATATGGATCATAACAAATATTGCTAATTTAAATAACTTTTAATATACATAATTAAAAAAATTGAACTTGATTCTTATGAGCTCATTTTTCTAAAGCCTTTTACCTCAAAATTAGCCATTCGTTAAAACCAATATTTATTAAACAGGTTTAAGGCCAAGTCTAAAGGGCCATTTTTAATTTTTAAAAAATAAGTTTGACATTAGAATGTTATATATTCATTATCTAAAATATAAATTGTAATGTTTTAAAAATCTAAAATAAGTACAAATCCTTATTTTAATCTCACCCTAATTTGTTTTCAAATTAATATTATCTTTTTATATATACCCTTTTTTAATAGGATATTTCACTTTGAATTATAAAATGATTTATTCATTACCAATACTTTTTGAAAGAATGATAATCATTACACCTTCAAATACTAAAAATACTCTTTTCATTAAAAAATATAAGACATTTTTAATCAAATCTCACCCCAATAAAATAGTTACATATTTTCAAACTATCCATGTCTTTTTTCTATTTATCTCTATTAAATACTTTACAATAAATATAAAGTTATTCATCACTAAGAACACTTTGGAAAAAAAATAATTTCTAAAACTAAAAATACTTTATATTTTTTAACGGGTAAAGTATATAATATTTTTAAACATTTAACTCTTTAAAAAATATTTTATATTTTTTAATGAAAGAGTAACTGAAAGTTGCACGGGTATAAAAATCTAGTTTAACTGTATTGTGAAGCACCTGGATAGTTTTCTTAAAAAAAGAAAAAGAAAAGGAATGCATTAACAATTGAAATAGATTAGGAGGACTAAACAATTAAATTTTGCTTTAGAAAAAGATGGGGAAAAAGGGGTAAATCCTTGTCTAGTTTTTTCCGTTCAAAACCTTGTCCCCCAAATCTTAACCAAACGTGCACTTAAAATACACATCAGATTTTCTTCAATTGAGATAGCAGCTGCTGGAAGCTCAGAATTCGCCTTTATAAGCTATGCTTTGATAGAGAAGCAGACCTCAAGCACATAAAAGCCACATAGTCAAAGCAAGGATTCAAATACCGCAGCATGCATGAATCAACCAACTTAAGGCGGGCATTGAAAGCAAAATGGGATTTGCAATGAATTTTGATTGACGTCCACAATCAAGATTTGTGAGAGCCAAGACTGGTGGGGGCAAATAGAAAAGTATTCTTTTTTTTTTTTGGGCCAAAAATAGAAAACTATTCAAGATCATACAAAGGTCCTGCGATTCATAAAATATCATATCGATGTGAAAAAAAGCCAAAGTCATTGCCTCCTCCCTCTTCCTTTCTTGGTGGGTTGTGCATCCATTTGATCTTTCCCAGTGACTTCTGATATATCCACTGCATAAAATTAATGGGTCCCACAAAGTACAACCAAGGGCAACATTTCTTGTCAGTAAATAAATTGAACAATAGAACAACAGAGTTTTTGTCATGCTATCCTATCAAGCAGGACTAGTTTGCAGTTCCAAGTAATTACTGCTTCAGTATTTGAATCTTACATGATAACATTTGAGCAACATTTTATGAAACCCGCCTAAACCAGAATGTTTGAAACATCTTCAAATAAAGCATTGTAAGGTGTTCGGTAATTCTCGGCATATACCGAGCAGTTTCAAACCATTTTGAAGAATGGGGGCAGAGTATTATGGTCAACAGTCGCGTGCCTAAATATTTGAAAATCAGAAATAATAAAAGTTTAGGTTAGGGATACCCTTTAGGAAAAATGACATTTAAGGACCTTCTAAGAAGATTCATTACAATTAAGGAATCTAAAATTATGAAATTTCATAAAAGATCATGGTTCTTAATTGAAATTAAAAATTTTCTTATTGAAATTTTTCAGTACTCATCTACACTTTCAATATTCATCATTAGTATTTTCAATATGCCGCGGTATTTTGTTTGTTCAGTAGTCACCTTAAAGGTTTTCAATACTCATCTTCAATGATTTCAGCATTGAAAAGAATGAAAGATAAGTATTTTTCAGCATTGAAAACATAGAAGACAAGTATTAAAAACATTTGACATGACTATTGAAAATATGAGTACCGAAAATGTGAAGAAGAGTAATGAAAATATGGAAATGAGCATTGAGAAATTCAATCAAAAAAAATCTTAATTCCAACTGAAGACTATGGTCTTTTTTCCTGAAATTTCACAATTTTTGAGTCATTAATTGTAATTAATATTCCTATAAGATCCTTAAATATCATTTCCCTACTCTTTATTATGATTTCCTTTTGTTTTAAACATGTACATTCGGTTTCCTTTATAAACCCTCGTATACAAGGCGCTTGGCTATCAAATAAAATATCAGAAATTCATTCTCTCTCAATCTTCCTCCTCCTCCTTCTATCTTTATGTTTTCCCCCTTTCCAATTCTTTCTTCCTATATCTCCCTCAATCTCCTTAGTTCTCCCGCCATCTCACTTTTTCTTCTATTGGTCCCACATCACATATACAAAAGAAAAATATGCCTTGACCGATCTTACTCTTACGTATTCAGGAAAATGAGTTATAGCTTCTCCAAACTTCAAATGCAACAAAATTAAAAGAAGCTCAATGTAAAACATACCATCAGGACCGCGAGCCATCAAAGCAAAGAATATATTATTAAGTTTTTCCATCTTCTTGGCTTCTTGCGCCTGATCTGTCTTAAACTTCAGACACTGATGGAAAGAACAATAATTCACCTTTAGCACATGTTTAAACTGACCAGAAAAGCTAGTAGAGAACTTAATCCATGAGTTATCAGCAAAGGCAATGATTATTATCTAGCCGCCTCATAGTTCATCATATAATGTAAGCAACAAAGGTGATATTCTACTTTCAAATGGCCAGAGTAAGTAAAGCCATACAAATTTCATGGATTCTAGGAGTCCGATTTTGGCAAATTGTTTCAACCAAAACTCAATGAATTGAGATCGTCCTGTCTAACATGTGCAGAGCAAGACCCCTTGTTAAAATGGTCTCGTTGCAAAAGAGTGTCCTTTGCTACCTTAACAGTAAAGAATATGCCACCATAAATAATCAGACAACTACCACTTGTCATCCCTTAGCAACCCTTTTGCAGTGCCAAAAAGTCTGTAAAGATATATGGCGCACACGTAAAATGTGTTGCTTCCAAAATAAGACTTTGGAGATTCCTAAACATTGTACCGCCCGTAGTATGAGCATATTTAGTCCACCAATAAAATGTAACACCTCATATTTTAAATAAAATATTTGGATAAATTTAAAAAATACTTCAAGGGAATAGCCAACTAAACTAAAATAAGATCCTGCTCCTGCGATTAAAACTTAAAGTTTAGCAACGCCCAAGCACTTGAAATATTATTTACCAATATTAAAGTGACAAAAAATGCTCAAAAGAAGTAATGGCCACAAAAGCATGCAAAATTATTCAAGATACTTGTGAGAATGAACTCTAGCAAGCATCATCTTAAATATACAGCTTTAACAAGCAAAGACCAAAGGCTACCAAATTTTACTGTATTATTACTATGTGGCTATATGCAATATGGCAATATATTTTGGTATCCTAAATTCTTTTCTCTTAATAAGTTTTGAGCAACAAATTAAGCTCGTTGTTTTCATTAATGATATTCCTGAGCAGATGCATCAACTGAAAATTTCCAACACAAGTTTCCAGCCTCATCACAATCTTTGTAACTTCATTGGTCTAAAAGATGACACACAGGGAAATTGTGAAAGTTTTAGTCAGTCGTGAATTCCCAGGTACTACTTCTTTTTCCTTATTTTGAATAAGCATGCCAAACATTCCCTCTATTTAATCAGTGCCAAATAAGGCCTTCCATCAGCATCTTGAACTAAAAGCATTTTCAAATCAGATGACCAAGTAATCAAAGACCAATTCATCTCTTCATTCTTTTTATTTTTCTTGTGGCAAAAGAAATATCTTAAGTAATCAATCAAATACCAAGTAAAGCTAGAAGAACAACAAGTTTGTATATCAAAGAGTGATCTCAAATACATTCCTAAGAAAAGGAGTAAAGTATAATGGTAAGATCTCATAAAAAAGGATTAAAACCCTATACCCAATCTACATCATCTTACATAGTAATACAGTTGACATAATTTTTTGGGGAAAATTGGAAGAAAAAAAAAAGAATTTACTAAAAGACATAAATGATCCAAAGATAAGAAGCAACTAACTTGATTGTCTTCATTCCATTTCCATCAGTTGCGAATAAAATTGTATAGTCAAATTAAAGTAGAACAGTCGCAAGTAACTCACAACTCAACCATCAGTATTTTCATTCGGCCAATTATATTATAGGGGAAATCATAAATTTTATGTACATCAATACTCACTTAATTTTAACTCAAAAGCCAACATCATTCAGCAGGACAACTATATGGATATGAAAAATTATCATAATTTTAGGTGCATACAGACTATTGATCTCAGACTATCACATCCAGGATTGAGTGCATAACAAGGCAACAGCATTGGATAGAACATAATTTTTAAAAACAGAAACATAAGAAATACTACCTCACGATTATCAGTAACTTTAAGTACCAACTTGCCGTCACAATGTCTGTACTTCATGACATACCGCGTCTACACCCAAAAATTTTAGTAAAACAAATAAGATAAGCAACTTGAAGAATAGGAGCCTAAATACTAACACTTGTGCACGCATGTGTGGGTTATATACAAATTAATATCTTGAAAATTAATCAAGTAAAGGAAACTTAGGTTAACAAGTAAAATTGTCTCATGCAGAGATTGTAGAAAACATAAGAGTCTCAACCTTTTTACCCAACAGTTTCTACTACTTTTTTATATCAAAATAAAAGAAAGAGGACATTACAGATTCAGGATCTGCCCGGAACAACTGAATGGATCGCTCAACAAACTCATCCCATGCGCTAATATAAACCATTGCACCAGACAGTAAAGGAGCGATCTCGATTCAAGGCTTTCAATAGCCTTTTGAAGGTTTGAAGCTCTAGTCAAGAGAGATCACCTTTGAATCATGAGAAAACAGATGAATTAGTGATTTATCAGCAGGATTTTATGTTGTTAGTTGTCACAACTAAATATTGAAGTTGGTCCAATAGATTCCATTATCCTTGCCCCTCATCTACTCAGCTCCCCTCAGTGGAGTCATGCTTTGGGAAAATAAGTGCGGAAAATGCTGCAAGCAGTAAGCCTCATCCATGGAACTTAATTTTGCAAGATTTAAGATGCTCAGATCAGGGCATTATTACTTCGCTGTTTCTTTTCAATAAAAGGGGTGCCATGCATATGACATGGATTTGTTACTATCAAATGAATTGCTATTCATAGGTCTTGTGAGATAGGGTGATTTTCTTGACATCTCAAATTTCATGGCACGCATTCTTCAGGGATCTAACTAATGGAATTGCAGTAGGACTAGAGATCTGCTTCGAATTAGGATTTTTATCTTTACTTTTTTAGATCTTCTTTCTTTGGGCTTCTGTTGTTTTAAAATGGTTACTTGGTTTATATGTCTCTCTTATTTCTTTCTTCTTTTAACGAAATTTCACTTGAAGTAAGAAAATTGATTTTGGATGCACCAATCAACAGATTAAAATAATTTATTATCAAAATTCATCATATTTATTGTCATTAAAAAGCAACAGAGAAAATTCACCTGTCGCCAGAGGGTACTAAGCAAAGATATAGTGATTCACAGTCTTCTATTAGTATTAAAGCAACACTCATTGAGTCACACTTTGTAAAAATATGCGATATAGCAACAAGAAACATATTTCCATCACCACATACTCAGTGTACATGATTAATCATAATGATAATAGCATTTCTTTAGCAGCGACTTCTGCAAATTATCTAAACTTCGCTCGCTTACAGTTTCCGCAACCTCCAAATCAGCAAGTGACAAGTTCACATTTACCGCTTAGCATGAATAATACCAAGTGCTGACGCCAATTTCATAAAAATCTCACTCATATCCATAGGCGGACCTAAATTGAAATCTTTGAAACATGCATAGTTGTTGTTCCAGATGCTTTGACACAACTTTAGCCAAGTCATTTACAAGATCATATAAATCACAAATACCTTGAGAATTTTCTAAATTGATGATAATATAAAAAGATTAATAAACAGAATGCCACTACACAACAAATTCAACATTGCAAAACAACACGATGTAAATCATACAAGTCGCCAGTAATAGCCAATTACACACCATTCAAGCAAAAACTAGTACCAAAAATTTTTTATCTCAATCTGAAAATATTCCCAAATTCAAAACCGTCAATGTTCAAAAGATTACACGACCAGATTCAAAGCCAAATTAAAGTGAAAAATGTAAAACAAAGCAAGAACAACCACGCAAGGAACAAATCCAAATATAGATTCAAAGCCAGATTGAACAAATCAGTCTCACCGGACCGAGAACAAGCACACAGGGCTGACAACGGTGGATGGCGTCGGACAGAGGGTGGAATGCTTGTTCGTCGACGAAGAGAAGTTAGTCCGCTACCCACGAGATGGGGTTCAGTCGAGACTCAGGGTTATAACTAATTTTAAGGGAAATTTAGCAATGGTCGAAAATTAATCACTTAAACAAAAATAATTACCTCATCTATGGAGTGTAAAATAATATTGAAAATTCCTGAGATTTTTATAAGAAATTTATTTAAATTTTTAAATTTAAATATATCAAATATACTTTTAAATATTTTTTTTTTACTTTCTTTCCAAAATTTTTTCAAGTAATTAAACTGGATCTTAGAACATGTTTGGTTTTGAATTTGCATTTTCCAAAATATGCAAGAAACAATAATTTGTTCGTAAAAATACATTCCAAACATAGATCAAATAAATTCAAATTAAATAATAATTTTATTTTTAAACTATAAATTTACAAGTATCTGAGATTTAAACTATTTTTTATATTCTTTTTTAACTTTTAAAAATTAAGTAATGCCAGTTTACTGTTAACAAAATTTGACTATGACCATTAATTTAATGAAAAATTATAAAAAAGAACTTAAACAATTATAAAAAATGACTCAAAAATTATAAATAAGGGGTCAAAAAAATTTAAGAAAATAACCAAGGAAAACACAAAAAATTTCTTGGTTCTTTTCAGTAATTTTTGAAGACATTTTTAGTAATTTTTTTTATCAACTATGGGTCAAAATTAATATTTGTTAATGGTGAAGGTAATATTGTATTATTTTAAAAAGTTGAGAAAGAATATTGGATTAAAAACAAATTTAGAGTCTTAGAAGCTTCCGGATCTATAGTTTAATAATTAATTTGCCATTTAACTTAACAAAAACCAAAATGCTATTTCAAAAAGAAAAAAAAGTACAGCCGATGAAAATATATTCTAACTCACAATTTTATATTAATGCAAATGCAAAATACGTATAAATTGAGAAGATAATAATTTAAAATATATACTCCCTCCTTCTGAAAATGTAAAATATTTTTTTAGGATTGAGATGTTTAAAAATAAAAATCATTTTTAGAGTTTCAAGCTATAAATAATATGTTTTTTTAAAGTGTCCATAATGAATAAATCACTTAATATTTAGTTTAAAGTAAACAACCCTATTAAATAAAAGTAAATATAAAAAGATAATATTATTTTAAAAATAATTAACTACTTTACTAAGAGTGAGATTTAGTCAAAAATAACTTATATTTTTTAATAGATAGAGTATGTATGTGTGTATATGAGTAATAAAAATATCTATTATTTTGCAAATATTTATATGATATCCAAATATACTAAACATTTGACCTTTTACAAATATACTAACACAATAATAGAAATTTTATAGGAAAAATGACAAAAAAAATTCCTTGAAATATGCCAATGTTAATGAGGTTCCATGAAATATGATAATTCTTTTTAAATTTCTTGAGACCTTTCTGATATTAATGTTATTTGTGAAATGATTATAATGCTCTGAATTTAAAATAAAAAAGAAAAGTGATGTTTAAGTAATTATCATTTTTCTTTTAATAATGACTAAAACAAGATAATAAATGACAAATTTCATTTGCAAATTTTTTAATAATTAAAGTCTAAGTGTTGTAATAGTGACTATTTTAATTTAAGTATTGATTGTCTTGTTTCTGACAATGACTAAAACAAAATAAGTAATCACAACTTTTCATTTGCAAAATTTTCAATCATTGAAGTCTAAGTGTTATAAATATTGACGACTATTTTAATTTAAATAATGATTATTTTTTCTCTCGCAATGACTAAAATATAATAGCAAATAACAAGTTCTGCCCTACCTCGTTTCTCTTTTTATTTTAATTTGGGAGCATTGTAATCATTTTCACAAAAGGTATTAATGTTAAAAAATCTCAAGGAACTTAAGAGGAATTTTTATATTTTGCAAGACCTCAATTGCATATTACAAAGTATTTTTCTGTTATTTTTCTAATTTAATATTTTGGTGATGGGTTTGGGGAATGGAAGATGAAAATTAATAACTTGGTCGAAACTTATTTATAACTGAGGCTATACATTTTAACTGGATGCAGTTCAATTACTATAGTTTTGATGCAATTGAAATCCAATTTTTGAATTCTAACTCAGTGCAGGTCAGTCTCTAAATTTAACAATTTATTTTTTATAATTTTAATCATTTAAAATATTAATTCATAAGATTAAACAAATAATTTTATGAAAATTTGATTTAGATTACATTTTTATAAATGAGTTCAAGTTCATTAATAGATGATTGTGTTTGAATTGATCCTAGTCAAATTGATATATTTCAACTTCATATACAAAAATATTTTATAAAAATAAAGATAATTAAGTTTTTATCATTTATTGACTAATTTTATTAATTCTGACCAGATCTTGATGATTTTATCAATTTTTTAATCAATTCTTTCCCCATTTTTAGACTGTTAAATTGGACGAGAAATAGGACCCCATCAAAATTAATAGAACTTAATTTTCCAATTCATTAGTTGAATCAATTAAATCCAATCAATTTTAACTGCATTACTAATGAAAGATACACCATCGATTTTAATCTAATTATTGAAATGTAGGTTTTGGATGACATTAACTTTTTAGTAAATATTTTTTTGGCCAACGAATTTCAGTAAATATTTAAGTTGAAATTGACAATGATCTGAATTTTTTAAGGCAAAAACATATTTCTGCCTATATACATATTGGCCCAAGATTTCTGCCAATATAGGACAATAATTATCATTAAAAATAAATCATGCCTTTTCTTCGAAAAATACCCAAATTAAATAACCCTATCAACTTATTAAAAACGCAATTCTAAAGCATTTAAGTATATGTTAAACAGTCAAAGGTAAATGTATTAATCCCGTTACCAGATCTAATTTCCCTTTTCCATTAATGATTAAAATATAAAGAACCAATAGGAACAGAGCAGAACAGCAGGAGCTAGTCTCTCATGATATAACGAACCAAAGTTTGAATACTCATTGAAAAAAATACTCACATTTAGGGTGCATTTAGGTAAACAGCTTTTAGCATTTGGAAAGTACTTTGAAGTTTTTTTGAAAAGTTGTTTGGAAAATTTTTAATTGAGCAAAATGACTTTTAAGATGTGGATTGAAATGAAGATTGAAAGTAAATTTTGAAACTTTATCTTGAGTTGGATTTCAGATGAGTTAGATGTGGGTTGAGCATTTAACAAGGGTAATAAATTTGTATCTACCTTTTTAATTGGCTATGTTATCCTTGAATTTTTTGGCTTTCTTTGCATGAGTTCACTTCACAATCCTTAGATTCTCTTTCATCTCTACTTTTTAAGCGTCGTTTGTCATTCCCCTAACTGAACTCCTCCTGGCTCCCTCTCCTCACCCTCAATGATCCCTCATTCGGTAATGAATGTTGAACTATTTATTACATATTTTTTCCAACATATTAAACTTCATATTTTTTATTCTTATTATTTAACATCTTAAATTTTATGTTATTTTAATTTTTTCACATTTTTTTAGACATTTTTAAATATATTACTCCCTCCGTCCCAAATTAAGACGCTTTTAGACAAAATCTTACGTATCAATCAACCTCATTAAATACATTTAACAACCTTATTTTTCAAAATAAAAATATAAATTTTTTAAAAATATCTATCATTTAATATATTGAAAAGAAAAGGAATGAAAATTAATTGTAGAGGAAGAAAGGATAATATTAAAATTGATACATTTAATGAAATTTAATTTACTCAAAATGCCTTATAATTTGGGACAGAGAAACTTCTTTAAAAGTGTTTTGTAATTTGAGACGGAAGGAGTATATTTTTATAACAAAAATTATAAATCATTGTAAATCAATGTCTTTCTTAGTCATTATATATTCAAAAGCACACTTGAAAAGTACAAATCATCATTAATTCAAACAATTTTTAGTTTACCAAACAGACTTTTGAAAAAAAAAGTATTCAAATATAAATTTTATTACAACTTATTTTTACTGAACTGATTTTTTGTCAAATGAACTTTCAACAAATAAATTTTTGATAAACTAAAAGCTAAACATACATTTAGTGTGTGATCGTGTCTCGAACATAATGTCTTTTAATAAGAGGATGCCTGTGAGCAATATTTAAAAAAAAAAAGGTGCAGGTTCTCTTAGAAGTTAAAACACTCGCTGATCAAGGAAAAAAAATTACCTTGAAATTTCACGGGAAAGATAACAATTCAAAGATAATATGTAAACATCCTCACATCACATAATAGTAGCCTTACACCCATCGTGAACTCAATTAATAGGTAAAGGTAAGTCACTCAACGTGGGAAAAGGAAAACATTGTGACGGCATCATTCTAAAGGTAAACTGCAACAAATGGTGAATTGGGAGGTAAGGCAATAAGTCTAACATCATTTTGCTAAAAGCTACTTAAGGTACCAATAAACTCATCAATGCTGGCCCTTTGGAATGTCGAGATCTTTAAATATTGGGCTGTCAACTCCCACCCCCATGGCGTTCAATCCATTGTCAACATATAAAACAGCGCCGGTGATGGCAGACGCCAGCGGCGATGACAGGAAAGCGGCTGCATTGCCCACCTCCTCTGTTAAATTCAGCTTAGAACTTGTTAATGTCGGAGAGATGAAATGGGAAAGGCGCATTATAAGAAGGAAGAATCTTGAGGGAAATGTTACCAGCTGTCAGCTCTTTCTGCAAAGGTGCATTGGCTAGTGAATAATCAATCATCATGTCAATGAATCCGATTGCTTTTGCTGCACGGCTTCTGAGAGGACCTAAAGGGGAAAAACAACCATTAAATTCAATCAAGAGCAGGAGCAACAATATTGTATGAAGTACTTAGGCCCCAAAGATTAATGGAAAATGCGCAGTTCTTGGATATCATGTTCTGTAAGACTGATGTATAAGTACTACTTTTTATTATAATATTTAACATATTCACACATGAAAACTCTTTGGGCTTGATGTGTAAAGAAAATATAAGCCCAAGATAATTTGGATTAAGAATCAGCTATAATTAGAAAGAATAAAAGGTAATGAGGATCAAAATTCTAACCACTTGGTTATTGAGCTTTACCCTTGGCTTAGATGGGTAGAAAAATGGGAGGAAGAGAACTAGGAAGGAAAACTTCCAAAAGTAGTATACAAATTTACTATTTTAGGAAATTTTCCTCCCTAGTTTTTTTGAAAGAAATATATACTGATCTCATACAAGAAAATTAATTACTACAAGGTCAATTAACAATGCGATGTCAATTGCCTTAGTTCAGTTGTTAATAAATCTTATAATAATTAATTTTTTTATGTGGGACTTCAATGTAATTCTCCCTAAATTTTTTTTCTCCTCCCTACTTTCTTCCCACTTTTCCCTTCATCCAAACCAAGCCTTAATGTTTTGTCAAAAGTCACTTCATCGCAAAAAGTTAATTTAAGTAAATGCTCATCAAAATTATTTCATATCTAATACTATCATGTCAAATTTGATAATTGTTAGATCTAATTGGATATAGCTTTCACATTTTAATTCTTTTTCACTCACAAAATTTGAATAATTGAACTTGTTTAAAGGGAACCGAATCCCTTCTAGTTGACCTAACTGTCATTAATCATCAATAGTATATTATTAATTATAACAGTTATTGTACCCACTTTAGCAGAAAACTAGACGAAATATAATATATCTATCTGGCAAATACAAGTATCTAAATGACCCCTAATGATGTATACCTGAACGCAAGACCCTGTCACATGTAAAAAGAACATCTAGAGAATCTTGATTATCCATTGTGTAAAGGAGTCCTCTACAATTTTTTCTTGTCTTTTAAATTTTGGCTAGATTTCAAACAGTAAGATACCCAACTCCCACTGGCATCAGAATAACAAGTTCAAGAGCATGTTAAAATCTTGAGCTGGTTAACCCTTTAAAGGGAGGAAAGTAAAGCAGACCTGAAAAAAATTTAATGAAACATGCAAAAATTTTTACCAGCAGATATTGTGTTGACTCTAATTCTTTTCTTCCTACCAGCTTCAAAAGCAAGCACCTGAAAATATGGAAAATTAATGCAAGCATTCTAAGGCAAGGGCCTAAGGATGAGCAAGATTGAGTGAAGAGTGCTACTAAGATAGTAGCATATCTATGTGAGTCATGCATTAACAGGCTAGAATTAGAGAAACATTGAAAACTCACTCTTGTGTCACTTTCCAAAGCAGCTTTTGCAGAACTCATACCACCACCATATCTGCATTTAAGTAGGTGCAAAAAGCTGTCAATCTGGACAAGTTATTTTATGACAAAAAGTATGCAAGTCTCCAAGGCATAATCAGACCCACCCAGGAATAACCCTCTCTGAAGCAATATATGTAAGAGAAATTGAAGAACCACCTATAACCAAAGAAGGAAGGTGAGGAAAAGAATAAAACGATGAAGGAAACAACATAAAGGTAGGCTATCAATAAACATGCCTGGGTTAATAATTGGAAGAAAATGCTTGAGTAAAGAAACATATGAGTAACTAGATGCGGATAATGCAGCAAGATATCCATTCCGAGATGTCTCTAACAATGGTTTGGTGACCTGCAACATAGTTGACTGCTTGTTAGCCAACGGGAGAGGGCAGAGGGAAACTTTGCAATTGAATTTACCATACCTCTGGTCCATTGGCAAGTGAGTGTACAAGGATGTCAATGGTTCCAAAGTCCTTCTTAACAGATTCGACTACTTCCTGCAAGTTCAAGCAAGTCCTTTTTCAGACAGATTGTGTGGTATAGTTCTGAAGATAAACCTGGCATCAACATCTTCATATATGACCTCAGACTGGCTCCCTGTGTCTCCGCAGAAATATAGCCAATACGTTCCATGAACTTACAATTTACAAGAGAAAGGACCACAGTTGGTCTTTCCACCTCCAAACTTACAACAAGCTTTAGTTTTCTCCCACAAGCACTGATCACTGATGTTTTAGTTAGTCCTTAAACTTGAATTTGAAACAATACTGTCCAAAAGCAGTAATGAGATTACTGTTGACATAAGTGATAGAATATCATCTTATGCAGAGTTATAAGTGAATAATTTTAAAATTTCTGAATGGTATAGGCGTACTCTGGTAAGTTGCACTTCATTTTTAATTAAATATCCTTTGAAAAATAGAAGTTACAAACTTACAACTACAAGTGAAAACTAGCTTTCACAATAAGTTTTTCAGATAAGTCATTTCTTAAACTCTACATATCTTAAAATAGACTTAAATAATTACTGCTTTAGGCTTATTATTGTATGTTTAAATTACAGTAAGCTAAAAGCAGCATAGTTGTATCCAGTGAGCTCTTTTCTTAAGTCCGATAGAAAAAGCACAAAGGAATCATATTTTAGCATTTATGGCATTGAATAAACACTTACTAGTTAAAAATAATTGCATCTAAATAAAGTTGACAAGAATGCTGATAAATTCAAAGCCTTGGACAATACTAAAGCGCAAATTACTTGAGAGACAAATTTAATTAACTTCGATAATTGAAAGGAATTCTTCAAGTGTAAAAGATTTAGGTAACAATGATAAATCCATACCTGGACAGTCCAGTTACTGGATCCAGCATAGCGCTTGTTTGTTTTAACCTACAGAAAATGTTGTTATGAGTTACATATATCCATGTCTATGGATGCATTTTTGAGTCTTTCGGAAAAGAAAATCTTGTGCATTTCTCCCTTACATCTTCTGGAACATCCTCAGGACTGTCGTAAACTGCATCCATGGGATAAACTTTAGTGATCTTCATCAGTGAACCATCTGGTAATCTGAAATTGGGATTTTCCTGTTAGCAAAGTACACGCAGATAACATAACCACTCAAATAAATAAACTAAATGGCAGAAACTAAAGTTATACATTCGTGACTCATCAAATTTTCCACGTCGAAGGCTGGACTCAAAAATATTTAGAGCCTACACAGAAAGGTCCAAAGTTAGTTCCTGCATCATTCTGCATGGATAAGAAAACTCAGGGCACAGACAGACAACCCTGAGATTCTGCAGATCTACTTACAGGTACCCAGGTACCAACAAGAATTTCAGCTCCAGCTGCTGCAAGAGATTTTGCTATTGCCCAACCATATCCATTGTCATCAGCCACACCAGCAATGAAAGCCCTTTTACCTACACAGCATCTTACTTTCAGTGAAAGTACAGATTGTTCCTATTCAGAGATTACTAAAAAAGAGAACTGCCAGCAAGCTTGTGGTGATTGACAGCAAATATTAGATAACAGCCAAAGAGATTTAGGAAAAGTCAACATAACAAAATGAAGATTTACTAATAATGAATTCGTATGAAAAGGTGAAAGACATAACTTGCAATTCGTATAATTCATGAACCTCAGGTGCAAGGTCTCCCTTTAGCTAATACAATTTAGATCTGAGTTACTGGGTGGTCAAATAATGTTTTAAACCCTTCAAAGGATTCGGAAATAGTATGTCAATGCTCAGTAGAGTTTGTTCTGGGATGAATAAACATGTGGAAAGGGGGAAAAGAAGTTGTGTTGCTGGTTAAGACAATACAAGAATCATATGGCCAAGATAGTAGTAATATAACTGAGTATCAACAGCAAGAATTTAGAGTTGAACCGCCAATTCAGTAGACATACATCAAGTGTATGAGCAAAAATGTGCAACAACAAGCCTTATCTCACTTTTGAGAAAAAATATGGATTAAAACAAAATAGGCATGGAGGAGTTTTGGGCAAAAGAAGTATAACCTTTCAAATCAATAGGCAATCCCGAGACTGGCTTGTTTTCACTAGACTCAGAAATTGCCTTTGTTACAATTTTGTCAAACTTTATGGAACGCGATGTAAGGCCATGCTGGAAAGGTTGCACTGATGCAACATGACGGACACTTGCAAGTCCATTCCAAGATCTTGCCTTGGGCTTGACACTAAAACCTGCAGCGCTTGCATTTGCAAGCTTTTGTGAAGAAGGAATGCTGGACCTTGACATTGCAACTTGCAAGTTAGAAACCGACGTTGTCGCCATCCTGATGAATGCGATTTGGCAGCAGAGAAGTTAGATGTACACAGAAAACTAATATTAGCACCCTTACAAAAATACATTAAAAAATATTCACAGATATCTTATATGTAAATGGAAAATACCAAATAAGTTCATGTTGATGAAAAGTTGGACATTATTAAAGGCGGCCTAAGTGCTCATCATTTAAAAAAATATTCTATTTATTCAATTATAAATAGTGACTATAACATTAAGTACGTTTCATCTTTTACCTGGAAGCTCATAACTAAAATTATCACAACAGATCCCCAATTTATCACCTAGACTTGTAGGTTTATACTGAAATTCAGAAGAAATACAGAGGTAATAGAGAAACACGCACACATTTAATTAATACAATAGTTCATATTATTACTATGAATTAGGCACATAGTTGGTTGATTGAGACATTATTACATAAAAAAAAAAAATTAAAAAGCATCTGAGACGAGAGCGTATCGTAATAATGATGACCAAGTCCGAGGGTAAAGGTAATACGAAATGATCGGATTATAAAAGAAATAGATTCTCCTCGGCGATCAAAATGTTGGACAGAAAAGTGTTAAACAAAGCCGAATTATTTCAACGATCGCTCTTCGCAACCAGTTTCCTCTTGTGGAAATCCCATCAGACATTACTCTCAGAATGCCAGTAACATTACGCTAATCTAATACTCAAAAAGCAATACCAAGAACAGAAGCAGTGTGAAAATAAAGTCATTTAATCTCGATCTCGAAGCTTCTAATTGCTAAGCATGTCCAAATTTTAACTCCATGGTAATGGAGGCACAGGAGCAGTAGGACTATTCCGAAACAAAATGCTTCTAATCAATGCCAGATCCATTTCAAGAGAAATCCTCACTTATTGAACAACACAAAAGGCAGGAATAAGCACACACACACACACAGAGGGGGGGGGGAAGACTGGATTTACCTGTGAGCTACGAAAACGGCCAATGCAGAGAGAAATTTGAGGAGTTCCAAGTAAAAAATTGAAAAAGCAAGTCTCTGTGTATTTTGTTTATATAACAGTTCAGAGGTAGCTTCAGGAAAAAGGAGAAGAATGGCCTTGCCTATGATGATGGCGATGAAAACAATGCTGTGTTTTACGAGGCGGCTCAGAGCAGTTGGAGACACTCCTCGCAAGTATCGAACTCGAACCAGAATTCAGTGCTCCAAGCTGGTGGAAATGCACGTGCATTTCACGTGAAACGACTTGTGTTTTTGTTTTTTGTTTTTTTGTTTTTTGAACGAACTTGTGTTTTTGTTTTCTACTTTTAAATAGATGCAAATTGCAAATGCAGGAAAATTTTTAAAGAAAGATAATCACTTAATGTACAATAATATACTAATAACTATGTCTCAATTTATAAGATATTTTTAAATAAAATTATTTATTCTAGTAAAACTTATTAAATACATTTTACAACTTTCCTTTTTTAAAACAAAAATATAAACCTTTAAAAATATTCTTCATTTAATACTCCATTTATAATAAAATATTAAAGAGAGAGAATATCTGTGAAAGATAATATTAAAAAAATATGATTAATAAAATTTTATTTTTATCAAAATGTTTTATATTTTAGAATATTGAATCTCTCCTAAAAATATTTTATAATTTTAGATGGATGGAGTAAATTTTTTCTAATAAATAAATAATTGAAATTTTGAAATGAAAGTGGACAGCTTAACTTGAAGATATGATAAGAAAGAAGAGAATAGTACATGTAATCCAATGATACAAAGTTTTAAAATTAAGTTAAAAAATAGTTTTGCCTCTAAACTATTTGCTTAAAAGTGTATGATGTCCTAAATTTACATATGGTGTAATTTTCTTTTCAAGATTCAACAATGGTACACTAGATATCCTGCCTTTGAAAAGATTAATTTTGACCATTAGTTCATTCAAAAAATTATAAATAAAAGATCTCTAAAATTATACAAAAGGACACATAAAATTACAAATAATTACTCTATAAGAAAATTCATTTTGATTAAGATCCTAAAATAATATGATAATTTATTAGTCTTCCTACAAATACTGTAAATGAACACATTTTTTAGACTAGTTGTAAGTTTTTAAAGGAGGATTTATAAAATTTGGAGGAAGAATTATAAATTATCATGCTATTTTAAACACTTAATTCATAATAATTTTTTATAGGGCATATATGTGTATTTTTCAGATTCTTTTATATAATTTTTATCATCCTTTTTTTGTAATATTTTAATCAATGAACAAAGTTAATTTTTTTAATAATAGTGCCTAGTGTATTATTTTTAAATATTAAATGAAAAATTACATTATATATAAATTTAGGATATTAAATTCTCTTGATCAAATAGTTGAAGAGCAAAAATGCCTTTAATCCTTTTAAATTTGATGAAACAAATGGTAACTTTTTGAGAAAACTATCAATCAATAATTATTGGAGGAAATTTATATTAATCAAAAACTAGGTGTTGTCAAAACCCAATTAATTGTTATTAATTTAAAATAAGTTATTATTAAAACTACAATAAATATTTGTTGATAAAAGACTAATCTGAATTAACAAATATTTATTCGAGTTTTAACAATAAGTAATCTTTGATTGATACAAATTTCTTCTAGCAATTTTTGATTGATATTTATTAATGAGTCAGGTTCATTACGAAGAATTTAGCAAACAACTTGTAAATCACACTTTTTATAAAATTATTATATACATTGATGTACTTAATTTTTTAAAAAAATACAGATTTATTGGTTTTTTGTGCAAATATATTGTTACATTTTAAGTTGTATCATTTCACAGTTGGAAGATTTTACGTGTGCATGTGTATGGATGGTGGTACTAAGGGTTGAGCAGCCACGACAAAAAATAAACAGAAAAATAAGAAAAGAAAAGTATAATTTTGGTTTCTAAACTTATTTTAATTATCAATTCAATTCTTAAAATTTAACACAAATAACTCAGCTTCTATACTTTATTAACTTGGAACAATTTGGTCTATATAGTTCTTGATTCATACAACTTGATCCTATGATTTCTTAGTTCAATAAAGAAATTAAATTATATTGAATTAAAGTTTAAGAATTAAATTGATAATGAAAAGAAAGTTTAAGGATTAAAAGTTACATTATACCATAAAGAATACAAAACATGGTTTCACCACATTAATTTATTTACTAGGAAAATAAGACAAAATAACACATTATTTAATTGAGTGCAGATTTCTTTTGGTCTAATTTCAAGTATATGTGAGAAGTGTATAATGTATATTTCTTCTGTGATGTTAAAATTTAATTTAAATAATAACAAATTTTCTTTATTATGAATTAATAATTTAAAAGACGTCCTTGTTCTTCATTATAACAACTATGATTAACCTGTTGGCCTTTTGAGTTTACTGATGGTTTTTGACATAAAGTACACCCTTGATGAATCAATGTTGTTGGCCCAAGCCTACATTGTACATTGAGAGGTCAAGTTAATAAGAGAAAAATATGAGGGTTCTTGACTACAATATATCCCAAATTCGTTTTGAGTAATGAGAGGGATGGCTAAAGTGTTAGCATTTCCATGTTGCCTTTATTATTTTTCATGCGTGATAGTTATTCAGCAACTTTGTGTGAAAATTAGAGTTAAAAAATGAATGGACTCGACCTATATGAGCTTAGCCCTTAAGGACTCGAGCTCTTTAGTTCAATTTTTTTTATTTTTTAAAGTCCAACCTTTATATAAAAGGTTCGAGGCTAAGTCCGTAACTCTTTATTATTATTTTTATATTTTTAAAAATTAAAATTTTCAATTTTAATATTTCATATATTTTTAAAAATATGAATTATAATATTTAAAAATAAAAATAAATAATAAAAATTCTAATTTTAAAGTATAAATATATATTTTAAAGTTTAAATTCAATTTAAAAATTAAAAATATTTTATTTTTAATAAAAAAATAAAAACGGACCTAAAAAGGCTGCTTGAGCCTGAACCCGTTTTTTCAGAGCCTATTAAGGCCAGGCTTAAAAACTCGATTTTTTTAAAAAATATCATTTTTTTCAAGTCCGAACCCTTATAAAATTGAGCTTAAACAAGTAGCCTTTCAAGCCTGGCCCTTATTTCGATTCTAGTGAAAACTATATCTCCTATGGGAGAGATATTAACAAGGTAAACAGAGAAAACTTTCACTGCTCTTTTATCTCTTCCACTTGTCCTCTTAGAGATGCATTAGTTGTGAATTAAGAATTGAATTTGAGTAACTCCATTCGTCTATATAGAGGTATAATCTGGTGTAACTTATAGTTATACTTTCGAACTTCATAATCCTACAACATGCAACCACTCAGAAGCCTATAATACAATGCTACTGGCTGTTGGCTTTGTTTCTTGCATTACTATTGTTTTAGGAATTCACTCTTAAGTAGTTAGTTCAAGAAAAAGAGGCTGCTTTCAAGTTTTCATTGTTTTTTTCAAAGGTAATGGTTTATCAATACATATGGGAATCAACACTCTGCTTCATACTCCATCTATTCCTTTGAGAGTTTGAATGACGAGAAGTTTAGAAGCATTTTTAACACATACCCTTACCTTTACTTGGTTCTCTTCCAAGATAATTTGATTCTTCTCATATCAGCTTGCTGGATAGCTTTTCTTTGTTATTGACTTTGTGCTTTTAATCTTTCTATGTAGTTTCTTAATAAAGTTTGCTTCTTTCTTATAGATTAAAAAAACTATTTATTATTTGGCAGTGTAATTAATTCAAATTGAATTATTATTTGGCCTCAATTAGATGTCACACTCTTAGTTGAACCACCCAACTAACTAGGACTCTTTTTCTCACAAAAGAATACTTTGAAATGTTGAGCCGAAAAATAAAATACTATGAAAAGTTTTTACTTTGCACATTCCTCCAACAGGGCTCATTTCTACCAGTTCAAACCATGGAAGCCCATATCGAGCTCACCAAATCCTTTAGGCACAGAGAGCCCAAAAAAAAAAAAAAAGTTTCGTTTTTTTTTTTTTTTTGTGTAAAAATAAAATTTTTTGCATCTTTTTTTTAAATTCCATAAAGTGGACTGATTTCACAAAATGCTAATATTCTATTAAGCACATCAAAAAAATATGCACATACGGATGCTGGAGACCTTTTTTTTCCGGATATATTATAATATTATTTAAAAAAATATAACTTTAAATTTTTATACTTTGTTTTCTTTTTATTACAAGTTCTTACAATTTTTTTTTTGATATATTAAATCCATACATTTTTATTTTGATAATATAAGTCCCTACGTTTTTAATTTTTGATATTCTAGGTCCCTAAATGAATAAGTATAGGGACCTAAAACACTAAAAAATAAAAACGTGGGATTTAAAACACAAAAAAAAAGTACAAAAACTTCTAATGAGCAAAGTATAAAAATTTAAAGTTATATTTTTTTATATCAGTCAATTAGAATGGGTTCATGCCTTTTTTGTAAGGTGCCTAGTATAAATTAAATTATTAAGTGTTCGTGATTTAGAAATTGTGTAGTTTCTTACCATTTTTATAAATATACTGGCTTTTTTAGAGTTTTTATGATTTTCGTATTGATTAGACTAAAGTTAAAATTGTAATAGAATAAAAGAAAAATAAAATCCAATATTAAAGACAGAAGCCATGTGCTAAAGTATATGTTAGAGCCTAGGTAGCATTAGCTTTATCAAGAAAAAGGAGACTTTAAGGAAACATTGCTGTTTAGTCTTAATATCTACAATTGAAGATATTATTTTCAATTTGAAATCACCAAATAAAATTCTATTTAATAATTTAAATATTTTAAAATAACTTTGGAAATTAATTTTTATATGTATTTTTATTTTATAATTATTTACTGAAATTTTTCCTACTTCATCATTTAAAAAACATTAGAAGAGTTCTTCTAGATGAGAAAATTGGTCCACGGACAACTCAACAAAAACATTTTTTTAGTTTCAAACAGAGTGCTTTTAATAAATTTAAGATCAAATAAAATTTAATTGAAAAATTGTAAAATAGTGAAAGTAAACAAATTATGAGGCTAGTTTGATTTTCTTGAAAAATGATACTCCCTCCATTCAAAAATGTAAAAATTTTTTTAAAGTGTTGGATTTTAAAACATATAAGACATTTTAATATTTTGAGTT